TATGTTTCTTTTTTTATTTTCATGTGTGTGAAAAGTTATCTTTTATTTCATAGGAGACAATCAGATTATGACTATGTTGTTAGTTACAAATTATGTAAACCCTAGAGGCTATTTCATTGTTACAACCTCTGCAAAAATATAAAATGGAAAAGTAATTTACATCACAGCATCACTGTTTGTGATAGATAAGAAAGGCCATTACACTGTCCAGCCATCTTCATTTGCCTAAAGGTCAACTGTGTGCGTTCCAAACCAAAACAAATGCTCTATTTGTGGCTGTCAGAATGTGGGGTTGGAGGAAGATTAAGACCCAAGATGCAGACCCAGGATGACACAAGGCTGTCATGTTCTGTGTCCCTTTGTTCCCCAGCCCCTCCAGTTCCCACTCCAGGTTCTCTTTTTGTGTTTCATAGCACCCTCATATGTCCTTTGTCTGCATCTCATTCATGTGTCTCCTGTGTTCCTTTAGTCTTCTCCAGTCACCCCTCTGCAGCCAGTCATCCCTCTGCAGTGTTTATAGTTTCAGCTTTTCATCTTTTAGTCTCTTTAATATGTTTTTGTCCCACCGGTTTTTGTAGTACTTCTTCCCTTTAGAATTTTAGTTATATGGTTACTTTTTTGTTTTTAGGTTCACTCTTTGGCAGGCACGTGGGGGGGGGGGGGTGCTTGATACCCTATTTATGATTTTATTTATATTGTTACCTAAAAAAGGCTGTCAATTGGGCTTTTCCGGGTGCCATTTTTCTGAATCTATGGTGAGCCCTGAATAACAGAGACTTTTCATCTGCACATAGAAGAGCTTGAAGAAAGTGATAGTTCAGCACATTGAAGAGATACCAGCCTCCTTTGACCTTCACCAGGCTCACAGACCCGCTCATACTTTCACAACTACCACCAACACTTCGCTGAACCACCTAGGTCACCGTGGAAAAAATGACAAGGCTGACAATTTTAATTCAGCATTTAACACCATCCTCTCAGACATTCTCACCAACATGCTGCCCTGCCTGGGACTTTCCATCCCCAGCTGTCTCTAAAAGATTACTTTTGTACAAACTATTCACAGCTTCAAACTTGGCCTCTGCTCCTTGTTCAGCCTTTGAGTCAACACCAGACTGTCTCAATGTGTGTGTGTGTGCGCGCGCGTGTGTGTGTGTGTGCGTGCGTGCGTGTGTGCATGCGTGTGTGTGTGTGTTAAACGCACTGCTTCACTCTCTGTACATCTTTGACTATACTTCTACCTGAGCGACACTATTATCAGTTCTACTCATGACACAACTGTACTTTGGGGTCATTTCAGAGAGCAACGTGTCACAGCACAGAGATGACATCCAGTGGTGCACAAAGCTGAGGAACTGGATTTGGACTAATTGAATGTCTTGCATTTTTATGGCGCCTTTTAGACTCCAAGAACTGCCCACTGCCACAAGGTGCTTTGCAACCCAAATGTCGTTCACCCACCCACGTGCACATTCGCACACTGGTAGCAATGAGCCACAATGTAGCCACAACAACTAACTGACAGAGGTGGGGCTAGGTGCCGCTGGTCCATCCGACCACCACCTGCAGGCAAGGTGGGTGATGTGTCTTGCCCAAGGACTCATGTCTGCAACAGACAGGGCAGGGCACAAACCTGAAACCCTTCGTTCATGCAGGGGGTGCACCTAACTCCTGTCAACACGGCCCAACAACAGCCTTTTTACTTCTCAAGACTACTGAGGAAGAACACGCTAAAAAAGACACAAATGACAGCATGTTAGAGCATCCTCACATATTACCATAACATACTAACATATTCTGTAATGTCTCAAATGGAGGAGCAGTGCTCCATGTTCGTTTTTAATTTGATTCAACCACAGAAAATGATTTGGATCTAGAATCTAAGTGAAGTTAGAAAACAAACTACAAACATCAACACAGCTTAGCCTCTGAATTTGAATTCAAACTGCTTACAGAGCCCTTCCTGGAGCTAGCTGATGACTGGATCATGAGACAGTCGAGCATTTACAACTTTCGTTTTCAGAAGTCTGTTCAAGTGGCTCAGACTCTCCTGAAGGCTTAACGGGCAAAGTAAAACCAACACAGAATATGTAACCATACAGCAGAGTAAACCATTGAATTAAGGTGCTAATAGTAAGTCATCCTTAAAGTTGCACAGCTTATTTTATTGGTCTGCACATTTGTGGGTGGGGAAAGGGAATGATATCAGTGCACTGATGATGGACATGTCAGTAGATCAGGGGTAGGCAACCTTGGTCCTAGAGAGCAGCAGTCCTACGTGTTTTCTAGCCATGCATGAACTTGCAGCTTCTAATTGGCTAAACACACCCGATTCAGGTAATCAACAGCAGGAACAGCAAAGATAGTTCCTTTACAATGTTCATTATGTCCTCTTTTTAAATATTAAACAAGGCGCTTTTTGCTTCAGACATGAAGGTGTTTCTAGTTACCTTTTACATGTTTTGACCGTCATCTGTGGTCTTCTTCAGAAGTGTCACAGGTGTTTGAGTGACGTGTCTTTATCAGCTGTTCTTCTGGTCACGCCCACCTCCGCTGGCTGGTCTTTGGAGAAGGGAATCCCAGGTGCAAGACAGCTGATAGGCCCCCTCGTCTCTGTTCATGTTCCAGTGTTCCCGTTTCCTTATTTCTATTGCCTCCCTGACCCAACGTTTGAACCGGTTGTTCTCCGTGTTGATAATTTTCCCTTGATCCCAGTCCATGATGTGATTATTTCGTTTGCAATGATCTGAGATGGCTGACTTGAGGGTTTGCTCCTCTGCTTTTTTCTTTGTTGTCCTTGTGAGTCTTTCGGTTGTTTCCTTCTCGCATTCCTTCTGGTGCTCTTTTCTTCTTCTGTCATATGTTCTGCCGGTTTCTCCTATGTATGTTTTATTGCACGACATGCAGGGTATTTTGTAGATTAAATTGCATTTCTTGTCTGGTTCTATTTTGTCCCTGGGGTGTAATAGTAGCTGTCTGAGTTTCACGTGAGGTTTGACGGTTATGTTCATTTGTTGATTTTTCATGGCCCTTTGTAAACGTTCTATATGATGGTGTCCGTGTGCGTGTGGTCTGGTCTTTGTTTTTGTTTTCTTTTTCTTTTTTTTTTTTTTGGTCTCTCTGTTTTTTTGATTTTCTTTGACTTGTTGTTTTCCTTTTTCTATGGCCCATATTGGATACTGACAGAGGATTAGTGCTTGTTTGATGTGTTCTTCTTCCTGTTTGCGGTCTGTTTCATCTGTAATGAAGCTGGTCAGTTCGCATAATGTTCTGACTACTGATAGTTTGTGTGCTGTGGGGTGTTCAGATGTCCAAAGCAGATATTGGTCTGTATGTGTGGGT